CAGTGAGACCCTGTCTCTAAATAAAATATAGAATCGGGCTTGGCAGGTGGCTCAGTGGTCCAGTGACCCTGAGTTCAATCCCCAGCACCAAAAACAAAACAAAACACCAACTGGAATCAGAAAAATCAAAGATGGTAGTGGAGCACACACAGCTATACGCAAAAGGTGCCAAGCACAAAAAGATCTGCAAATGCTCCTCCTTTATCTGCCTGGACCCATGACGTTCCTATCTTTCTCATAAAGGGAACCCCTCTTTTGCCCAGAAGGTGCCCTTAGAGAACGAACTCTGGCTGGGGCTGCAGCTCAGTTGTAGAGCACTTGCCTAGAATGGCTAACACTCTGGGTTACATCCCTGGAGCTGCAAAAAAGAAGAAAAGGAAGAAAAGCAGGCACTTTGACCGAAGAATGAAATATTTGCTCTTTCTTCTTAAACCGAAGTTTGTACCATTGGCACTAGTGACAGCAGGGCAGAGTATCCTTCAAGGAGAGTTAGTAACAGTGGTTTGAGATAGAAGTAACTGTGAAAATTAGAACATTGAGAGCTGATAGTAACAAAATGCAGAATAAAAAATAAATGAGTGAATGCAATTGAATTATTTTATTAAAGAAACTATTGGAATGATGCTTTAGTAGCCACTGAATGCGGGTCTATAGTTGTTGAAAGATGCTTCTCTGATCAAAGATGTAGCACACCCAGGCCTAGGATTCTTTCCACGACTTAAGGTACACATCAAATGATCTTACACGAGTATAATTTAAGTCATTTAATACCTATCACAATCAGTCATCAATGATGAATATTCCATTGTTCTACAAGACCTAGAGGTGTCTGATTTTAGGTTATTGACATGGCCTTTTTCTTTCTTTTTCTTTTCATGCTTTGATTTCTGTATTTTGCAGGCATTCACTAGTTATTGTAATTACTAAACTACCCTGTAGTCTAGAAGCCCACTGAAGCATGGAATTCTTATATTTCTACTGGAAAATAGTCCCTGAATTCTTGCCCCTGGCTATAACAAAAATCTAGTCAAAGCAAAAATCTGTTAGAATGTGTTGAGGGCATCAGGACAGGATAGAAGAGGAGATACTGGGATGAGGCATCCAGTTAAGGGATGAAATTTCTTCTATGGTCAGGTAAGCAGGCATCTGCCTCAAGCTCCCGAGTTGCGGGGATTACATGTATGCACCTCCATGCCCAGCATCCTCTGAAGTCTTACAGAGATTTCCTCGAGAAAGCTAGTAAGTTTTGCATGTGTATGCACATGCAGTAAACTAGCTCTTTTTCTGGCAGTTTGGCAGACAAGATATTCAGATAGACCTCTTTATGTATAACTCACTTAAAATGCATAGGTGTATATTTACATAAATATATGTATATGTGTATTTGGTTAGATAGATAGATATTACATGACTTAGCTGGTGGACACTAAGGAAGTATCCAGAAATGATAAGAAATCTTGAGTCTAAGGGGCAACTGTTGACACTGGAGTTTTTCTTGAAAGTATCTTGATGGCCTGGTACCCCACAGCCTGGTAGGGTATCTTGGTGGCCTGGTGCCCCACAGCTTGATTCCCATGTGGCCTAGAGCCTGAGCATTGTGAGAGATCACATATGAGAACCCCTTCATAATGCTGTACCTCCATGGGTGACACGTTTAGTATGAACTAGAAAGAACTTGCTGCAGAGAGAAAACAGATCTGCTTGCCTTGGTTTGGGTTGTGGTGGGACTAAGTGAAAATAGAAGAAAACTTTACTGTGAGAATTTCTAACCACTAGAGCATGCGAACAAGTGCCCAAGGCTAGAATGTCTATTACTATCTGTGTGACTTGGAAAAATCACAGATTTTTCTTAAATCTCTTAAAGTAGTTCTGAGGGGATAGTTCCCCTCTGGTGGCTCCCAAATCACTTGAAGAATGTGCACCCTTCAAACCAGATCTTCCTCCCACCAATGAGGAAGAAAGCCCGGGCTGTTTTGAGCCTGACAGATATGGGTGTTGTTGAAGAATATATAATTAGCATGTTTATCATATTTCGAGAGGGAAAAAGAGGCAAATTAAAAGAATGATAATATAATACGAGTTCATGAAAAAAAAGTGAAAAACTGGAAATTGGAAATTCAATGAAGATTCTGGGAAAACAGATGGTGAAATTACGCAGACGATAACCTAAATAAACATGGAAGTGAAAGAGATAAGCAATCAAGAGAGATGGTCTGTGGAGTAAAATCATTCAAATCCTTGGTGTCCCTTAGGGAATCAAAGCAGGATGAAGTGAACCCTCAGCCCCCAAGAGTCTGCACATATTAATTTTTTTAAACATTTTTTTTAAAGAGAGAGTGAGAGAGGAGAGAGAAAGAGAGAGAATTTTTTTAAAAAAATATTTATTTCTTAGTTCTTGGCGGACACAACATCTTTGTTTGTATGTGGTGCTGAGGATCGAACCCGGGCCACACACATGTCAGAGGAGCGCACTACCGCCTGAGCCACATCCCCAGCCCTGCACATATTAATTGAAAAGCCTAGGGTCTCAATGACACCTTGGATTCTGGAATGGAGGATAAAGAGACTCTTGTACTAACATTGTTCTGAAAATCCCCTGCCCAGAATGTTTTTCCTGTAAAAAGAGAAAATTTAGACTAGTGTTCGATGATATTTAAGGGCTCTCTGAGCTCCAAAAAAATCTTTCAGTCAACGATTAAGTAAGAAAGAAGTAAGTATCCACAGCTACGGGAATTTATGAGATTAGAATGAGTCATGAAAGAAACACTTGAGGACAAGTGTTTTTAAGAAGGGAATAGTTTTTAAGGCGTAACACTGTTAGAAAAAAATAAATCAGAAGACAGGGGATCAAGCTTGGAACTGAGTGACAAATTCCTCTTGAGCTGTACATCTCTTAATTCTGATCTTATAGAGACCATAAACTGTTTCCTACTCATCATGTGCAACAGTCCTTCTTGACGTTTAATGCACACTTGAATCACACCGGGAGATGACAAGGCGGGTTCTGGTTCACCAGGTTAGATTCTTTTTTTTCTTAGCAGCCAGGATACACACACTGGGATCACAATTCAGTAAGACAGGCGTGGAACATTTGTAGTGGTGAGTAGACCTCTGGTGGCCACAGTGGAAATGTACACTTTGTCACACACCCATCAATTCTTTTCTTGAGATTGTTAAGACAGTTCTCTCCCAAAGCCAGCAACTCTGTCATATTATCCACAAAACAACATAGTTTACAAATCTGGATTCTAACCAGCACAATATTGGCAAAGCCAACATGATTTATTAATTGGGACTCATGGAATTCAATGTCAGACCACACTGCTAGTGATAATCAAAGAAGAGACATGTTTAGTCTACTTAAATGCTGAGGCAAATGCATTTTTTTTTCCAAAAGAACATGTGAAACCAACCTAGAAGCAGCCTTTATATACAAACAATGAATGAGTTACAAATGATTTGTCTTTATAATTTTTTTTAAATCCTCAGGCTTTTAATTTGATTCTTCTACCTCTGTCAAGGACTGTCATAAATTGTAATTCTTATAAAGCATTCTCTAATTTATTCCTTTGTATGAATCAGACTGGCCTCCTCTTTAATTAGGAAAAAATGAGGACAGTTTTATAGTAATTTTAAATTTCTCAGTCTTTTGGCTCCTCTCAGTCTGTGCTTCTCAAATGGAAAACAAAAATGGCCACGCCATGTGATTTCTGTCAGTAGTTCAAACTAAAAAATAACCCATAAACCTTTGAAAGATTTTTATTTTTGGAAACACTACTTTTTTCTTTTTTTTCCAAGCTGCAAATAAATTTTTTTTAAATTTTGAATGTCAATAAACACATTTCCTGGTTTTATCATGGTACATAGATAAATGCTCCAGAAATAATTCCATGTTTTGGAGATAATAAAATTATTATCACTCCAGGATGGAAAGGAAACATCCCACCCCAAGAATGTGCACATTTTCAGACTTGAAGTCCATCCAATTGAAACACACTGGCAATGAATATCAATATCAACTTGATATTGATATACACCTCCAATCATAGCATGAGACCTTATCACTAGACTTCAGTTCTGAGCAGATACTGGAAAATGGTGTGTTGGCTTATGGAGATTTTCTGGAGAATAGTCATGCTCCAGTGTCCTTGCATAGGGACACTAAGATCCCCAAACCATTCTGTTTTCTTTGCGGGCTTTCTATAGCATCACCATATCCATTTATGTTACAAGAGTCATACAGATCTTATATGTTGTAGGAAGTTTTATATGCCTATTCAAACCTTTTATTTTTCAGCCTTATAAAAACATCTAGAGTCATTACTACTAATGACGGGGACTTGGCAGTCACTGAGAGAACTGTCTGTGTAGACAAGTTCAAAGGCTTCTGTTCAGGGGGTTAGAAGTAAGGAAGTCTTGGTGAGAGAGACAATCAGTGGTTAATTACAGATATTTCTATATCCTTAAAGTCTATAAAGTCACATAAAATTTCAAATATATCTCTGACTCAGGGATTTCCAGGCAGTTCATGTACATTACCAGACATCTCTTGGCAGTGGCTCTGATAGCTGTGTGTTTACTCACCTAATAGTTTCATTGCATTTTAAAACGTCTGCCACACAGGTTGTGGGTTGAAGTTAGCCATGCCTAACATCAGGTTTTTCTTATCTGCAGTTCATATGTTTTCATTATAACAAATCATAAGAAAGGAACAGTCGGGCGTGGTGGCCCATGCCTGTAATCCCAGCGGCTCAGAAGCTGAGGCAGGAGGATCACAATTTCAAAGTCAGCGATGGAGAGGCACTAAGCAACTCAGTAAGACCCTGTCTCTAAATAAAATACAAAATAGGGCTGGGGATGTGGCTCAGTGGCCGAGTGCCCCTGAATTTAATCCTCCACACCAAAAAAAAAAAAAAAAAAGGAAGGAACTTCAGAATCTCAATAGATAACTTCCTAAAATGCAAAACATCAAATATTTTCCATTTGAAATTTGAACTTACACTTTTCTTAAGTCTCATTTTATTCCCTGTTGTTCATTCTGTGGAGCTCTTCTGTCCAGTCAAGCAGAGAACACAAAGGTCTCAATGGAAGCGAATGTTCGAGCTACTGGAAGTAGTTTCTTATGCCAGTGCTTTGCAAGAACTTCAAAGAAACAGTAAAGAATTAACATTGGTTAAAGCAAATATGTATTTCACTACCAAAACATGCAATCACACAAGAAATTGAATACCTGTGTTCTCCTATATCTTGCTCTCCACTGGGACAGAGAGAGCATTTGAAAAACCCAAACATGAACAGAATCTGTAAATTCAGAGGTTGAGTAAGTATCAAGGAAATAAGGCCCAATTAAGGGTGCACTTGGAGAGATTCCATCCCCCATGAAAGAGTGACTCACACCAGCTTGGGACTTCTTGCACCTTAAATATTAAATGTGTATTGTTACATTTACTGATTTCTAAAAAGCAGAAATATGTAAGATATAACCAAATGCATTACGTGGGTACCAGCAATTTTCACATGAGATAGAGTCAGTTCAATCAGATGGCTTTCCTCCTACCTGTCCAGAGCCCTGAGGGGACAGCAGTTTTCCCAGGGATTGTAGATTCTAGAATCATCTCTCCAATAGCCTTGTTGAGTCAGACGAGGCTGACAAAGGTGTACACCCAGACTGTGGGTTGGGTGGGGCAGAGGAATGAGTGTCTGCTGCTGGGAGTTGTGGTGCAATGTACAGACAGGTAAATTCTGAAAGTCAAGTCCCTGAATGAAATAAATCAAAGTCAGAGTAAAAATAAACATCCTAAACTGGGTCAGCAATCCTAGGGGCCAAATGGTGGGAACCGAGGGAAGGCGCCAAATGGGTTAGAACAACAAAACAAAAAGGAACAGCTGAGTGACAGACTATGGGGAAGGATCCAAAGATGCAGTTCTTTGAAGTCACACTGACAGCATTCAGCATTTAGAACCAGCACCCATCCCAGCAGCACCTCTAAGCGGTCTCCTCTAGGGTTTTCCTAGTCGGGTAGAAGACATTGTAGGGTCTGGAGCTTACGTTTCTTTTCTTTTTGTTCTTTTTAGTAATACATTTCAGAAGAAGCCACTTTGATATAATTATACAAGCTTGGAATATATCTTATTCTAATTAGGACTCCATCTCTAAGGTGGAAGGAGGTACCATTGTGACAGTGAGTAAGTCATTGGAACTCTTATCGGCGTCCAGTGTCTTATTGGAGGGTGTCTGGCTGCCACAGTGATCTGCATGAGGAACATGATTTGGATGTTTTCAGAAGAATGAAGCTGGGAGTGGAAAACTAAAAGGTCAATGGCCTTCAAGGGCATGGAGGACTCAAGTGGTCCTCTGGTTCCTGAAATGTCAGGTCTGCAGGAATCTGAAGGAGATCTAACATCTTCTACTGTGGTGTCCTTTTGCAGGACTGAGAGCTACCAGTTGATGGCTAATTTTGACCTTCAGCACAACACAGGGCACAGGGTTGACTGGGGGTCCTTTTAGTAGTCTGTGGAGAACAGACTATGCCCTACTCTATGTTACTCCAGGATGTGTAAAACAGCAGTTTTGAGGCTCTCCCTAGTCCTGACTTCTGCAATTTTGTAGAGCAGTAGTTCTCTGTAAGTCATTTCATTTTGGATATAAGTGAAAAGATTCTACACCTTGTTTGTATAAGTAAATAAGCACCTTCTACCCAGTCGTAAAGGACAAATTGACAAATAACTTATGACAATAGAAAATAATTTATCAAATGATGTCAGGAATACATGGACTAGAGCATATCAAATCATACCAGAAACACCAGACACAGGAGCTTACCAATCTCATCAGACATAACCCCCTCATCTGAGACCCATAAAAGGAGGAGCACCCCAAGACTGGACACAGCCATCCATTGACCCTTGGGTGAAGCCATTTGTCTTGAGCCTTGCTTAGGAAAATGAAGATAGCTAGGAACTTCCAATTCTCTTTCCCCAGGCTTCAGCTCAGCAGTTGCCTCCTGTCCTTGACTACCACAGCAAACTTCAAGCTGACCATTAGAAACTGCTTACTGTCCTCAAACCCTAACCTTGACTCCAAAAAAAATTAGTTTATTAAAACTCTTATCTATCTGTAGTGACTCTGCCATTTGTATCTGTTTGCTGCCATTTCTCTTGGCAAGGCCTGTTAAAACCCTGTGGCTTCCTTGTCCCTCTCTTTGCCTTTCTGTAACCTATATACATGATGAGAATATGATCTGTGACTTGAGCGTTATAGATCTTAGTGACTAAGACTGAAATGAAATAAAATAACTTGTGATTGCCAAGGTGGTGACACCAAGTGAACCATGAATATTTAGTGAATTAAAGTTAATGAAATTGATATAGCTTCAGAATTGGTTATTCGATAAATTTTGACCTTGTGGAAAGACATCAATGTGTCCAGTCTATGTGAATGACATAGCTCGCTCATGACGGTGTTATAGCCTCCACTTACTCCCAAGTGCCAGCCAACTGCCAGGTCCATAATGATAGAATGGAATATTGTTGGAAAAGGTCTACAGCATTTTTTGTTGTTGTTGTTCTAGCAAACACCAGAGTTGAGGTGGATGCACTAATTGTTTTGGAGCCTTAGAGCTGTAAAAGTTTCCTACATTGTTCTTTTACCACACTAAGGTTGACTAATTATTTATGCAAGCCAAGCACAATAAGAAGCACTTTATAAGCCCTTCCCACTGAATCCTTATGGCACTCTATAGAAGACCCTTCCCCGGGTCCAGAGCGCCTTCCTTCTTTTCTACCTAGTTCCAATTAAGTTACCCACCTCCCCAAGCCATCTGCCTCATAAGAAGGTCACCTCATGCTCTTCTCCAGGGTGGTCCTGATTATTCTGCGTCTTCTCCCCTTCCTCCAGTCAGTTCCTGTCTCAGGAATGAGTCTATGACCACATTTTGGCCAAGAAGACTTGAAGGGACATGTACCAGAGGTAGGGAAAGTATTCCCTCATCCCTAAAGGAGTGGCATCTGAAGGAGTGGCATCTTCTTTCTCTGTTCCACAGTGCGTAAATCTAAATCCTGCAAATGCCCAGGGTTGAAGGAAGAGGGTAGTCCCAGAGAATCAAGAGAAATGCCATCAGAGTCCTGATGTTCTGTTCTGAGCAGATGCTTGTCTGGAGTTGGCCTGGTGGGGAAGGTGCTTCTGGAGGCCAAAGACAAATAGAATCAGGAATTCGTAGGCAGTAAAGGTCGGAGTACATAGGGATGAGCAGGACTCACTCTATGTTACTTAAAGACTCTTATTCATCCTTCATGAATAATCTTAAATGCCGTTTCCTCAGTGAGATTTTTCCTCCTACCTCCCAGAGTTGGCCAAACTCTGCATTACATTCTCTCTGAGACCTAAATTTCCTTTGTGTACCTGTGTTCGTCTGATTTTCATCTCTGTGACCAAAATACTTGACAAAAAAAAACTTAAAGGAGAAAGTATTATTTAGGATCACAGTTTCAAAGGTTTTAGTCCACGGTCAACTGACTCCATTACTTTGGGCCTGGGATGAGGCAGAACATCCTAGAAGGAGAGTATAATGGAAGAGAATCGCTAAGTTCATGGCACCCAGGAAGCAGAGAGGTGGTGGAGGGGAAGGGTCTAAGTTAGGGTACCTAACAGCACACCCCCAGTAAACTACATCCTCCTATAGTTTCCATTACCTCCCAAAGTCCATTCAAATTACAAATCCATAAAATGGATTAATCCACTGATGAGGTTACAGCCTTCATGATCCAATCAGTTCTTTAAAACCCTACCAACTGAACATTGCTGCATTGGGGACCAAGCCTTCAACACATGAGTCTTCTGGGACATTTCATAACCAAGCTGTAATAGAACTCTAGCTGTAATTAGTTACTTGGTTAATAACTATCTTCCCTGAGAACTAGAGATTTTATTCTTTCACTGTTTCCTTTTTTCTCAATCCATGTCTGTTCTAGCCATTTATTTGGTTTTCACATCAGATGACGTGTGTGCACCCAACAAAACAGACAAGACATCTATGGGGTATGGGCCAGTCCTGAGCGCTGTGCTACATGGAGGCAGGGGCTTAGGGAGAGATGTCACTATGTCAGAGTATAGAAAGGAAATGGAAGGAAACCACGGGTGAACCTCATCTGTTTCAATATTTCCACTAGAAATTCCACATGTAGAAAGGAATGTCTTCTTTGATATAAGGAGGGCAACTAAGAACAGAGCAGGGAGGAAGAGCATGAGAAGAAGATTAACATTAAACAGGGATGAGAAGGGGGAGGGAAAGGGAGAGAGAAGGGAAATTGCATGGAAATGGAAGGAGACCCTCATTGTTATACAAAATTACATATAAGAGGAAGTGAGGGGAAAGGGAAAAAAAGAGAGAGGAATGAATTATAGTAGATGGGTAGAGAGAGAAGATGGGAGGGGAGGGGATGGGAGGGGGAATAGTAGAGGATAGGAAGGGCAACAGAATACAACAGACACTAGTATGGCAGTATGTAAAAAAGTGGATGTGTAACCGATGTGATTCTGCAATCTGTATACGGGGTAAAAATAGGAGTTCATAACCCACTTGAATCAAATGCATGAAATATGATATGTCAAGAGCTTTGTAATGTTTTGAACAACTAATAATAAAAAAAAATATTTTAAATTAAATGAGGATAAAAAAAACCTTATGTACCTTATGGAGGGACTAAACATGTTGATATTTTCTAGCCATTCAAAATAGTGCCTAGCATATTCTAAATGTACAGTATATATTATTTGGTTTTCCTTGTTTATAATAAATATTGGAGTCAGACTTTTTAATCTAAAAAAAGAAGAAAAGAGGGACAAACACTGTATCACCTCTTCACCAGCAAGACACACACACACACTCACGGAAATACAAAAATAAGGGAGATTGAGCTAATATTTTTGTCATTATCATCAAGTTATATAAGGTTTTATGAACTGGTTTAAAAACTTCTCTGTCACTTGCAATTTAGTTCTTGTGGGAAAATATTTTCAGAGTTCTCCAAATATATACTGCAGACAGACTTTTTGTAAAATACAAATACTGCTTTGTATTGAAGTGAATTTTGTTGGTGATTTTTGGCTCCTTCTAAAACCCAGTGTGCTGCCTGGAACCTAGTAGGTGTTCAATAAATACTTGTTAGATTAAAGAAAAAAATGGATCACTGACCAGGCATTATTTCTGTGCAGATAATGAACATAATTTTTTTTTTTTGCAAAGAATACATGTTGCCAAGGATGTTGCTGCCAACAGAATTCTCTTCAACCAATGTTGACTGAAGAAGATAAAAGAAAATAGCAAAGAACCTCAAGCTCATTAGAAGCAAAGGGAAGCAGTAAGACTTGCTCAGGTCAGGGCAGGGCTTGCTGTTTCTTCCTTTATATCATTAATAAGGTCTCTATTCAGGACAATACTCACAGTACCATACTAGCTATTACGAACTGCACATAAGGAGGTAGAATACATGGCTCTGTAAGGAAAAATGCCACAGTCACACTGACTTTAAAGTCAGAATATGGGGGGCTGGGGACGTGGCTCAAGCGGTAGCGCGATCACCTGGCATGCGTGCGGCCCGGGTTCGATCCCCAGCACCACATACAAACAAAGATGTTGTGTCTGCCAAATAAATATTAAAAAAAATTCTCTCTCTCTCTCTCTCTCTCTCTCTCT